ACCACGCTCCCTACTGCTTTTGCAACCTAAGAAACCAAGGAGATGGCTCTCCAGGGCACAGATCAGATGGTCAGCATACAAACCAACTCTACCACACACGGCTGTGGAGGAGGAGGACTGCAGTGCTAGACTGCACGTGGAGAGACTGCAGGTGGACTTGACCATGCAGCGGTAACTGCAAGAAGGTAGATGTCCACTGATGCTTGGCTGCAAGGAAGCCAACAACGCGCTACCAGAGAGGGGCAGAGAGCGTGGATGCACGTGGTGCAGGTGAGGGTCCTGCAAGCTCTTACCTTGTCGTAGGTCTGGTAGTGCTCTTTGACAAACTTCTGCATGAAACGGAGGAAGGACTTGTTGAAATCTATGAATAAGCGCATGGAGCGGCTGGGAAGATACCGGAGCAGGGGGATGAAGTCTGCAGGGTTGCCAGAAGCAGCCACAGCAGCAAACCGGTCACTGGTGTTCACTATATTGAGCAGCTCCTGGTCGTTGTGGTCGTGGCGCTTGCCAAAGCACATGGCGCAGATGACGTTGGCCACGGACACCACCAGGTACCGGTAGGGGTCGAAGCTTTTCTCCTCCTCCATGAGCTGCAGGAATTTGGTGACCAGGTACTCGGCCTCCTTGGACACGTGCTCCTCCAGGAGGCAGCAGGATGAGACTCTGGGGCTGGGGGTGATGGAGAAGGTCTTGAGGGCGTTCTGGGCCAGCTTCCTGCGGGCTTTCCACACCTCCTCGGAGTCAGAGCTGAAGGTCATGCTCTGCCCGTCCGCAACGTAGCGGAAGCTGTGGAGGTCGGGGCGGCCCAAGAAGTCTTCTGCTTGCTTCACCAGGGCTTGCTTGATGGTGTCCAGCCCGCTCAGCACCAGCACGGGCCGGGTGCCGATCCTCACCTCCATCACGTCCCCGTAGCGCCGGCTCAGCCGGGTCAGCGCCAAGTGCGGGTCCTTCCTGAGCTCCAGCACGTTGCCGAGGATGGGGAAGCCCCTGGGGCCGGGGGGGCTCTTCAGCCCCTTGGGCACGCGCTGCTGGAGGGACTGGATGAGCAGGAACACCAGGCAGAACACGGCACCAGCCAGGAGGAGCTCGGTGGCCGAGACAACGCCTTGGCTTCCCACCAGAGACATCGCTGCCTTCATTGCCTCTTGCCTGCAGGAACTCTAAAGGAGTGAAGTGTTGTAAAGAGCCACGATCAGCGAGAGGTTGAGTCCTGCAGATGCTGAGAAAGGGCATCAAGTGGCCCCAAACAGTTCAGGGTGATGGAGCTGGATTTAGGGGTTTTCAAGGGGTAAAAACTGGAGACCTCTAAAGACTCCAAACCCATTGCTTAAGGGAGACCTCAGCACCCCAGAGCCTGTAATGGCACTCCTTTCCCTGCAGAAGATGGGCACTCAAAGCCACACACATGCACACATTGTCTCTTACCTGCAGGTCCTTGTGATAGACAAGGCTGGTTTTGCTGCCTGTAGCTCCCAGCAAAGAGAGACAGAGGGTATCTGCTTGTCCGGGGGAGCAGAGGAGATCCTCTCCTGCTGCCTGGACCTTCTCCTGCTATCTGGAATGCCATGGCTTTATATGCGCTCCTTTAACTTCTTATCTCTGTGGGGTTACCGGTGAATAGCTACCCATTAACGAACTGGAACAAGCCCATCTGGGGCCAGCCCAAGAACCAGGGAAGACCCTTCCTCAGCTCCACTGGGGTTTGGGGGATGAATGATGACTTTTCCTCCTGCCAGGGCACGTGTCTGCCCTGGAGCTCAGAATGAGAGGCAGAAGTGGAGTTCCTGAGGACAGGGAGGCAGAAAGGGGGGGTCCCTAAGCCCTGCCCTGGGGATGATGAAGGATCCTCTCCCACTATCACTGCCTAGAGGGATGTGCGTGCCAAAGCCCTTTCCCAGGCTGACCAGGCTGGTCCCAGCACACAGAGAGCGCTGTCAGCTCCGTGGCCACTCTGGGGATGCTGGGAGCAGTGAGGGGATGTGTTTGCAGCAGGGCAGCCGCAGCCGCAGCCCTCTGCATCCCTGGGGTACCAGCAGGTGGTCGCGGCGCCCTGGCACCGGTGGTGGCAGGACCTGGTGGCCGGCGGCAGAGCCAGGCTCAGGTTAACCATTGCCCAGGTTCGCGTGAGAAGGCGGCTGGCTCGCTTCCCCCGGCTCCTCCGTGGCAAACAGCGGAGGAGTGGCGGGGCAGAGGGGAGGAGGTGAGCCCCACAGATAGGAGAGGTGGATGGGGCAGCGCGGGGCAAGGCTGGGGCAGCTCATCCTTCCCCAAACCCAGCCGGAGAGCTGGGAGCCGCTGGGGCTGCTGCTGGAGCTGGGGAGGAATGCAGGGCTTTGGGAAGCGCAGCCGGGATGAGCAGGAATGAGCTGAGCTTTGGGGTTCAGCTCATCCAGTTTCATTCCATCTTGGGATGTGGGAATTTGGCGCAGGTAAAAGCTGAGCTAATATTTAATAAAGGCTTTCAACATCTGCTCTAATCAGGCTCATTAACAGCAGTGACGCCGTTCATTAGTGTTTGGCAAGAACAGTTACAAAACCCTGGCTGCTAAGATCCACTCTGCTCAGTGCCAGGCACCTCGCACCAGCGTGTGTGTGCGTGCAAGGACATACACGGGAGCAAGAGGATCCTGGTGTACACCCTGTGTGCATGCGTGGCAGAGCAGGGGCTGTGTGTGAACACGGGCAAATCCACCCATGCAAGAGCATCAACAAGCTGTGTGCTTGTACGTGGGCTATGTGCGTGTGTATAGTGTCTGCGTGCATGTCTAGTGTGACCGTGCGCATGGATAGAGTGCTTGTGTGCATGGATAGCATGTCTGTGTGCATGTATAATGTGCCCGTGTGCATGTATAGCATGTCTAGTGTGTCCGTGTACATGGATAGGGTGTCCATGTGTATGCCTAGTGTGTCTGTGTGTATGTATAGAGTGCTTGTGTGCATGTATAATGTGTCTGTGTGCATGTATAGCATGTCTGCCTGTCTGCATGTCTACTGTCTGTGTGCATGTATAGGGTGTTTGCATGTCTAGTATGTCTGTGTGTATGACTAGTGTGTCTGTGTGCATGTATAGAGTGCTTGTATGCATGTCTAGTGTGTCTGTGTGCATGTATAGGTTGTCCACGCGCATGTACAGTGTCTGTGTGCATGTATAGTGTATCTGTGTGCATGGATAGGGTGTCTGTGTGTCTAGTGTGTCTGTGTGCATGTACAGAGTGCTTGTGTGCATGTATATGTGTCAGTGTGCATGTATAGGGCATCTGTGTGCATGTATAGAGTGTCTGTGTGCATGTATAGAGTGCTTGTGTGCATGTATATGTGTCAGTGTGCATGTATAGGGCATCTGTGTGCATGTATAGAGTGTCTGTGTGCATGTATAGAGTGTCTGTGTGCATGTATAGAGTGCTTGTGTGCATGTATATGTGTCAGTGTGCATGTATAGGGCATCTGTGTGCATGTATGGGGTGTCTGTGCATGTATAGAGTGTTGGTGTATATGTATAATGTGACTGTGTTCATGTATAGGGCATCTGTGTGCACGTATAGGTGTCTGTGTGCATGTATAGGTTGTTCGCATGCATGTATAGTCTGTGTGCATAAGGGAGTGTTAAAATGTGCATGAGTGCACTGGTGTAAATGCCCCATGCACATGGCATGTACACATGGTGCTGTATGTGCTGTGTGTATGTGTAGTCTGCACCTATAGATGTGTAGGGTGAATGCACACACAGCCGGAGGTACGTGGCTTCACTGGGAGCTGCAGGTGTGGGTGCCGCAGTGAGGGCACGGGGACATCTGTGCCTGGGGTTTATGGACACAGCCACGTGTCCTGCCCGGTCCATGTGTCCCAAGCAGACCTCCAGAGACATGGGTAAAGACAGTGCAGTGTGTCCCTTGGGGAGGGACAGCTCTGCCTGGGACACGTCAGAGCGGGCTGGGGCACCGCTCAGTGTCCCCTGGACCCCAAAGGGGACATCTGTGGTGGCACGACTGAGACCCTCAGCTTTGCACAGTGGGAAACTGCCTTCTCGAGGGATGTCCCTGTGCCATCAAGGGGGACAGAAGTGGCGCAGGGGGCTGCCGCCACCAGCATGGGGATGGCAGAGGGGATACAGCCCAGTGTGCCCAGTGCCCCCAGTTCTGGGGACCCCCCACCCCAGCCAGCCGGGGGGGGGTGTGATCTCGAGCTGCTCCGGCGCCGCTTTGACCCCGGGCCAGGCTCCTGGACGTGAGGCCACCGCCCTGGTCCTTTAAAAGCCATTTCCCCCCCCACCCGCCCATAGCGTGACTGCGAGTGACCCTCCCGGGTCAGTCCGGAGCCCCTTCGCACGCGATGTCCCCAGTGCCACCCCCAGGACCCCCCCCTTCCCTCCGGCGGGGCGGGACCCCACGGCCCCTCTCCCATCCCACTGTGGCTGGGCTGGGGATAGGGGGGATGAGGGTGGAAGCGGTGAGATTCGGGCTACGTCTGGTCCCGCTTGTCCTCCTTGAAGGACACGTCTTGACCTGTCGCCCAACAGGGACTGGGGATGGGGGCGGGACCCGCTGTGGTCCCCGAGCATCCCCCCGACGTGATCCCCCTGCCCCATCCCGGCTGCCCTGTGCCCCGGGCACAGGTGACAGAGGGCACGGCCGCTTCGCACGCGAACTTGGACAATCTTTAACTGGGCCGGGGCAGGGAGGGCCGTGACCCCCGGGGCTGCCCCACCGCCCCCCTTGCCCTGCAGCACCACGGCTGTGGGCCAATAGAGCGGCCCCGCACCGGCGAGGGGACCCGGTGATGCCCCGTACCCCGGGCTCTTCCCCCTCTGCTCCCACGGGGAGCACCGTCGGAGGCACCGGCAGCCCCCGCCGACGTGGAGGACAGCTAAAGCACTGCGGGGGGGGGGGGGGGGGGGAGCGTGGTCCGCACTCATCCCTGCGTGTTCCCGGGGCTCCTTTGGGATGGCACCGGGGGGGATCCCCTGCTCCTGCCCCGCACTGCGGACACCGGCTGCGCTTTCCCACGCTCCCGGCTCCGGATACCGGAGACATCCCGGGGCTGCGGGCACCGGCGGCGAGGAGGGGGAACGGAGCCGGGGCTGCGGGAAAGGGGAAAGCGGGGCTCGGTGGACCCGGGGCGCTGCCCGGGGTTGAGGGAGGGGGGAACCGGGGCTCGGAACCGGCGCCTTTAAGATCCTGCCGGTAGCGTGACTGGAGTGACCGGGGCGGCGCGGGTTGCCCAAACATCCCGCCCGCTTCGCACGCGATGCCCGCCCCGGTCTGGAACCCACGGGCGGCACCGGCACCCCCCCCTGTCCCGACGGGTCCCCCCCTTCCTCCTCCTGCAGCCCTGCAGCCTCCCCACGGTGACAGGCAGGGAACGGGGCTCCCGCACCCCAACCCGTGTGTGAGCGGGTGCGGGGCTTGCGGGATCTCCGCCGGGGGGGGGGGGGGGTCCGGGTTAGGTGTTTGGAGTTGGGACGCACGTCAGCTTTGATTAGGCTTTGGCCACGTGACGGGAGGTGTCCGGGCCAATCAGGGCAAGCGGCGATGCATATAAAGCAGGAGCGAAGAGGAGTTGGGGGGTACCTGCCGGGCGGATCGGGCCCCAAAGCGCTCCACAGGTGAGTACCCCCGGGATGAACGGGTGCGGGGGGCGCTTCCAGGGCACCCCCGAGGGATGGGCAGCCGGGGGTGCTCTGCTTTGGGTATCCCCACACTCTGGCTCCCCAGGTCTTCTGTGGCATCCTTCCTGCAGCTGCTGGAGGGTGATTCCTTGGGGGTTCTGAGGGTAATCCTTGCCCCAAAATCCCTCTCACCATGGGGCAGCCACGATCTGCAGCCATGGGCTGGGGTCCCAGCAGCCCCCACGTTCCTCACCCTGTGGGACCTTGGTGTCCCTTAGGGTCTGTACCAGCCTGCCCAACCCAAGGGGAGGGGGGATTTCAGTTCCAACCTCTTCCTACCCCTGGCTCGGCATTTCCTGAGGGATTTCTGATGGAGGAGGGAGCTGGGTGCGCACAGCCTCCAGCCCCACTCTGCAGCCATGGCTGGCTTTCATGGCCATCCACATTTGAGGGAGATTCATGGCAATGCTGTGTTTTGGTGGTGAGCAGAGGCTTGGAATGAGCAACCAGGAGGATTCAGCTTTCCCACACTCAAGTATGGGAAAGCACTCAAGTGTTCTGGAACAGGCTCGGCAGTAGAAAGGAGGTGCTGTAGTTGAGAGAGCACCTTTCCTTCCCTTCACACACAGTAAAAGCTGTGGGACCCATTCCTTCCACTCCTGGCTAGCAAAATACGGCTTCTAAGTGCAAGCAGCTTCCTAAAGTGCACAAAACTGATGCAGCTCTGGATCAGAAGTTAAACCAGACTTAAGTGCTGCGTAGGTGCCTCAGACTGGAGGTTCTCCGTAGTCTTCCTAATGCCTCTTTGATTCATTACCAAGGTTCCTGCACACTGGCAGCGATGTCTCTGGTGGGAAGCCAAGGCGTTGTCTCGGCCACCGAGCTCCTCCTGGCTGGTGCCGTGTTCTGCCTGGTGTTCCTGCTCATCCAGTCCCTCCAGCAGCGCGTGCCCAAGGGGCTGAAGAGCCCCCCCGGCCCCAGGGGCTTCCCCATCCTCGGCAACGTGCTGGAGCTCAGGAAGGACCCGCACTTGGCGCTGACCCGGCTGAGCCGGCGCTACGGGGACGTGATGGAGGTGAGGATCGGCACCCGGCCCGTGCTGGTGCTGAGCGGGCTGGACACCATCAAGCAAGCCCTGGTGAAGCAAGCAGAAGACTTCCTGGGCCGCCCCGACCTCCACAGCTTCCGCTACATTGCGGACGGGCAGAGCATGACCTTCAGCCCTGACGCCGGGGAGGTGTGGAGAGCCCTCAGGAAGCTGGCCCAGAACGCCCTCAAGACCTTCTCTGCCACCCCCAGCCCCACGGCCTCGTCCATCTGCCTCCTGGAGGAGCACGTGTCCAAGGAGGCCGAGTACCTGGTCACCAAGTTCCTGCAGCTCATGGAGGAGGAGAAGAGCTTCGACCCCTACCGGTACCTGGTGGTGTCCGTGGCCAACGTCATCTGCGCCATGTGCTTTGGCAAGCGCCACGACCACAACGACCAGGAGCTGCTCAATATAGTGAACCTCAACAATGAGTTTGGAGATGTGGCTGCTTCTGGCAACCCTGCAGACTTCATCCCCCTGCTCCGGTATCTTCCCAGCCACAGCATGAAGCTCTTCAAGGACATCAACAGGCATTTCAACTCCTTCGTGCATAAGCTTGTCCAGGAGCATTACACCAGCTTTGATAAGGTAAGAGCTCGGATACTCTGGGATGCAGGTAGAGGTGCCTACAAACATCAGAGCTCCTTGGGGCTCTCCTATCTGAGTTAATCCCCCAGGGCCTGGCCCTTGCTGGGGGGGGTTTCCCCCAGCTCTCGGTGTCCATGGTGTCCCTGACTCAGCTTCTCTCCCCCAGGAGCACATTCGGGACATCACGGACTCACTGATTGAGCACTGCCAGGAGAACAGTGTAGGGGAGGATGCCCACGTCCCGCTCTCCAATAAGAAGATCATTGGCATCGTCTATGACCTCTTTGGGGCAGGTGAGAACATCTCGGAGGGTAAAGCCTTGCCGCTGGGATGCTGGGTGTGGGAGCTGGAGCTCTTGGGATGAGACCTTGGCCGTGCTTGGGTATTTGGAGCTGTTCCTGGGCTTTCATGTGCCCCTTGAACAGTGACCAGAGCAGATGCTGCTGGGGAACCTGCTCCAAGGCAAACATCTGGAGCGCTGGGATCTGTAAATACCCACTACCTGCCCTCTTTTGGTAGCTCAATGACTTCTCCATGTCCATCCAGGCTTTGACACTGTGACAACTGCCTTATCCTGGAGCCTCATGTATGTCGCCTTGTACCCCCGCATCCAGAAGAGGATCCAGGAAGAGCTGGGTGAGTCCAGGAACCTGCTTCCCCTGGAGCCAAAACCTCCCTGTCCAAGGCTGACCCGAACCTGCTCCCTTCTCTCAACCTCCCACAGACCAGACCATCGGCCGGGAGCGCAGACCGAGGCTGTCGGACCGGGGCGCGCTGCCCTACACAGAAGCCTTTATCCTGGAGGTGTTCAGGCACTCCTCCTTTGTGCCCTTCACCCTCCCGCACAGGTAAGGGCTGCAGTGCCTGGCATCCTATTTGGGGTTTTCTGTGGAGCGGTTTTCTGGGAGGTGCTCTTGAGGCAGATGATTGCCTGGGAATCCATCCCTGCTATGAGGAAATATTCCAGCGCACAGATTGAATGACTCCTGTCAAAGCTCTCCATGGCTTTCACACCTGGTAGTGCCGGTGCCTGGGGCTGCATCCACCACAAAGCCCTTTGGAGGGATGTCAAACACCCCTGGGTTTGTATTTCCCCCAGCCTCCCCATTGGGAGAAACCCCATCAGAACTCATCCAGCTTCCCAAAACTGGCATCCTTCTGCTCAAGGAGAAGTGTTAACCTATTTAGTCTCCCAGATGCAATGTGGGGTATTTCCTCATCAGTTATAAGAGTACAAACAGGGCATAGAGACTGAAACCCTTGAACCTGTCAAGCTTTGTTTCACCTTGAAGCTGCAGGTCTCCTCTTAATTTCTCTTTCCCCTCTGCCCTGTATCTCTTTCAGTACAACAAGAGCAACAACGTTGAATGGCTACTACATCCCCAAGGATACCTGTGTGTTTGTCAACCAGTGGCAAGTGAACCACGACGAGTGAGTATTCCAAGGCAGGAAAAGGCAGATTGGGTCAAAAACTCCTGGGCATGGAGCTGCCGTGGGGTGACTTGGTCACTGGCTCAGCAACTCCCCATCACATGGTGATGTCCTCAGTGCACCGGACATCCCGTTTACGTGCAAGGGCTGGCAGCTTGGGCTGCTGAATAATCAGGAATCAGTAGATCCTCCTGCCAAGCAGCCCTTGTGATCCGGGGCTATGGCTTTGGATGTGCTCAGTGGGAACGTCCCGGTTCCCTCTTCCAGAGAGAAACATGTCCTGACGTGACTCCCGTTAAACTCCATCAGCTCCTGTTGTTAGTTCTGGTAATCAGCTTGGGTGGATGAAAGGGGTCTGTACAGCAAAGCCCCATGCTACCCTTCCGCTGCTCTCCAGTAGAGACCCTCCTGGGCAGGGGAGCAAGCCTTGACACAAAAGATAGTTCCCGGATCAGAAGCTTGTACCCAAGTATCCCAGCAGCAGAAACATCACGGTATTCCTCCTGAGCACTGCAATGGGAGCACTGTCTTTGGGGACAGTGAGGATTCCCTGTGTCCAAGCAGAAAGTCTCAGCTAAGAACTGGAAAATCCCACCTAGCACCTACCAGGAGCCAGGCTGGGATGGGTTGGGAAGGCTTCAAGGTCAGAAAACTCTCAGGTCTCCATCCTTGCTTTTTGTAAGAGCTGCTGACCGATTTCCATGCTCCCCTTTTGGCTGAGGCTGCAGGATGCCCAGCTATTGCACGCTGAATTAAATCCACCTCCGGGATCTGCACAGGCAAACACAGGCTGAGTTTGGAATAGAGATTTCAATAGCCTGAGCTGATGGGCTCTGTCATCTCGTTGGCATTTCAGACCAGGGACAGAGGTTGCCAAAGGGGTTTTGGGTGGCGAAGTGCGGAAGCACTGCGGTGCGTCTCTCCGGGTGAATCCAGCTCCCTCAGCTGGGTCTCCTTTCTGCCGCAGGAAGCTTTGGAAGGAGCCCTCAGCCTTCAAGCCTGAGCGGTTCCTCAACGCCGCAGGGACGGAGCTCAACAGGACGGAGGGTGACAAAGTGATGACTTTCGGCTTGGGCAAGCGGCGCTGCCTCGGCGAGTCCATCGGCCGCTGGGAAGTCTTCCTCTTCTTGGCCACGCTGCTGCAGCAGCTGGAGTTCAGCCTGCGGCCCGGCGCGGGGGTGGACATCACCCCTCAGTACGGGCTGACAATGAAGTACAAGAAGTGCAGCTGCTTCCAGATCAGGCAGCGCTTCCCCACGAAGAGCTCTGCATGAGCCGCGGGAGGAAGCATCACGCCGCACGAGAGCCGGCCCTGGGAGCTGCACGCTCAGCCTGCTTTTGCTAATGCTCTCTAGAAGCCAGCACAGCTCCTCACTGTGTTGCTTCACTGGGGGCTTGTTCATCTCATGTAAATGATGGTGGGGAGGGATAAAGCCTGCTTTGTCAGGCTCCCCACGCCCCCCCCCCCAGGCAGGTTCCATTGCTGTTGCCTGCATAAAAGCTCACCATGGGGAGATCTGTGGGGATCACAGCCCTGGGGTGGGGAGGGAGGGAGGGAGGGAGGAGGATGCTTTGGGCTGGGAGAGGCAGTGTGGGGTAGCGGTAGGGGTGTTCTCACCCTGCCTCCTGCAACACTCCCTTCATCCACCAAACAGGAATCAAGCTGTGGGATCCTCCCTGGGAAACCTGGCTTTTCCCACAGGGAGAAGCCTCTCAAGCTCTGGCAGAGCTCTTTGGCTCCAGCTGCCTTCTGAAGGGGTCTTGGGCTGATGCAGGGGCCAGACCTGCACCAGCACCCACCTGCCCTCAGTGTAAATGCATTAAATGAACCCCCAAGTGTTTTACCCATCCTCGGAGACAGCCTGAGAGGTGAATGAATGTATATCCATCAGCAGTGCTGTTCAGAGATGGCTAAATTCCTCCCAGGAAACCTTCTGGAAAATATCCAAGGTCTGACAGTAAGGGGCAAGAAGCAATAAGAGGCACATTCTGGCTTCCAGAGAATGTATTTGCTGCTTTTAATCAACTAATAGTTTGTGGGTCCTTTAGCAAGCAATAGAGTCCCATATTCAGCCTAGTAAAGGTTTGAGGGCTGCAGGAGATGGTGAATTCCCATGGCAAATTGAGCACTGGTTCCTGCTGCTTCCTACCTGTGTGGAACACATCCATACCCTGGGATATGAACTGCAGTGATTCTAACCCAATAAATACTTATACTGAAGTGCTGAAAGTTTCTTGTTTGGTTCTTTCTGGTCTTATTCCTCTGAGAAAAGATTTTTTGAGGAAAAGCCCAAGATGATCTCTCCATCATCCTTAAAAACTGACTTGGATGTGTTGGATCAGGGTTTTCCTGCAGGGACATGAGCTGGATGTTCCTTTACCATCGGGGCTGTGACACCAGTGCTATTAGGGGGAGCATTTAGTCCTCACAGGAGCTGGCTCTGGTCCTCTCCCTGTGTGTATAGAGAAGCTAAAACCTTAACAGAGAGGTGATGCTGAGCTTTGATGGGTTCAGGATTTCACCCAAAATCAAGCATGGCCCTTTTATTCCTCCAAATAAATGAATCAGGAGCTTGCAAACAGCATTTCAGGACCCTCAGGGAAGCGATCCACAGAGGGATGCTTCAGACCATCGCCTGCTCTGTGCTTCCCCAGCTCAGAGCATGGTTATTTCTGAAGGCTTTTCATAGCACCCCTTGAAAAAGGTGATAAACACTAAATTGCCATGTAATTAATAGGGGAATATATGGAAAACTGGGGTCTGGGCACACCTGAAGGGCATCTCTCCAGGGTTTCCAGCTTGCTGGGGTAGGAAGCTCTTGCCCCACAGGTATGTTTCCTTGAGGCACAAATGCTTGGAGCTGGGGTCTAATATAAGGAATCGTGGCAAACTTGTGCTGAAAAGTGTGTCCCTCCCCAGATCCCTGCCCTGGGATGCTCTGTGGTGGGAGATGCTCTTGCCCCATCCAGGCAGCTATCAAAGTAAGAGCAGAAAGGTGACTATTTGACTCCATCTGTCACCTGGATGGGATGGACAACCACAGGGGTAGTTTGGATGAGGTGGCTGTGCCCTGGAAAGGCTGCTCTGGAGAAGAGGAGCCTTCCTCCCACCCTAACCTGCCTCACCTTCACAGGGCTGTTACTGACTGTGTTCCCAATGACTGTGTGTTCCATTAGCCTCTGTGCACAACAGCTCAGGAAGGGATTCCACACCCCGCCTGCTCCTTCCTCCCAGTAATGAGCAAAACAGGCTCAGGATTCCGGGGGGGGGGGAAAGCTGGGGGTAGCAGAGCTGAGGAGAAAGCAGGAGGTGAATGTACCTGTGCCTTGGGTGGGGAGTCTGGGAGAGGGGATGGAGCGGTGATGGAGATGATGGAGGTGGTGGAGGCATGATGGAGGAGTGATGGAGGTATGTGACAGAGGTGGTGGAGGGGTGATGGAAGTGTGATGGAGTGGTGTGGAGGTGATGGGGTGATGGAGGTGATTGAGGTGATGGAGGTGACAGAGGGGTGATGGAGGTGTGGCGGAGGTGATGGAAATATGATGGGGAGGTGATGGAGGTGACAGTGATGGGGGTGTGACAGAGGCAATGAAGGTGTGATGGAAGTATGATGAAGGGGTGATGGAGGTGATGGAGAGGTGGCAGATGTGTGGCAGAGGTGAAGGGGGTGATGTAGGGTTGAGGAAGGTGTGACAGGCAATGGAGGTGTGGTGGAAGTGTGGTATGATGGAGGTGACAGAGGGGTGATGAAGGTGATGGACGTATGATGGAGGTGGGGTGGGGGTGACGGAGAGGTGATGGAAGTGATGGAGAGGTGATGGATGATGAAGGGATAATGGAGGGGTGATGAAAGGATGATGAAGTGGTGATGGAGGGGCAACGGAGGTGTGGGAGGGGTGATGGTGATGGAGGAGTGATGGAGGTGAGGGAGAGGTGATGGATGATGGAAGAGGTGATGGAGGGGTGATGGAGGTGATGGGGTTGACGTGTGAATGAGGTGGTGGAGGTGTGAGGACACTGGCAGTGACACGGGGCAGATATGGCAGAGAGCGTGCGGCAGCAGTGACAGAGATGTGATGGAGGTGAGGGTGGGATGGGTGTGATGGACGAAGTGTGCCAGTGGCGATAGGTGACGGAGGGGTCACATCGGCGATGGGTGACGGAGGGGTCACAGCGCCGATAGGTGACGGAGGGGTCACATCGGCGATGGGTGACAGAGGGGGTCACAGCGGCTGTGCCCGCAGCGACGGGGATCAGGTCCCGGCTCCACCACCGGAGCCACCACCACCGCCGCAGCGCCGGGTCCTCACTACGCATGCGCACACCGCACCCGGCGGCTCCCGCCACGCCGGGTGTTAGTGCGCATGCGCGCAGCTCCACTCCCACCCCTCCGCTCGTCTCTATGGTCGGCCGCCGGTGGCTGGAGCGCCGCGGGACCGGAAGTGACGGAAGCCCGGAGCGGCGGTGAGGGAGGAGGCCGCGCTGAGGCGGGAGCAGGCGGCGGCGCCAGGTGAGGCGGGGCCGGGACCGGGACCGGGACCCCCCGCTCCGCGCCCGGAGCCCGCCGGGGGCAGGCGGCACCCGCGGTGCGGCGCTGAGCACGCCCGGGCCCCCCGGGAGGCGCGGCCGCGGCGCCAGGCCCTGCGCGGGGCCGTGCTGGGAGCGGGTGGGGAGGCCCGGCCCTGGCCCGGGGCCGCGCGGGTTGGAGGGGGGGGGCCCTCATGCTGCCCCCAAGGGTGAGGGGATCTCCTTGTGCTTCTCCCCCCACGGAGGGGTGTCCCTTGTGCCCCCCCTCAGGGGCTCCCTGTGCTGTTCGCCCCGGGGACTGCGTTTTCCTGTGCTGGTGAGGCGGACTGGGCCGGGGGATGAGCCCTGCTGGGAGTGGGTGCGCTCTGCCTGCCCGTGTCCCGGCGGCAGAGCTGGGAGGTCTCTGTGGCTGCTTTCCTCGTAACTGAGCCAAGCCAGTTCGCTGTGAACTCATCTTGCAGCTGGGGGAGCATGTGTTGTGGCTCCTTGTCAAGCAGCAGTGCCCGCTGTGCGCAGCTATTGAATGGTTTATGTTGGAAGGGGCCGTAAAGCTCGTCCAGTCCCAACCCCCTGCCGCGGGCAGGGACCCCTTCCACTAGAGCAGCTTGCTCCAAGCCCCTGTGTCCAACCTGGCCTTGAACAGGGGTGGGAGAAGGTGCTGAGTTACTGCTTACAAACTCTGTGTATTAAAGAGCTGTCTGCATGGCTGAGTGCGCCTTGACTTTCTTTTACAAGTGGCAGTGATGTCAGGCGTATCAGTAATACCCACCCAAAGGGATGTTGGGGAGAAGATCTCTGTGAGTTGTATGGCAAAACCTGTAATATGTGACAGACTATTAGACAGGAGGTTTGACTTTCCAGGTGTGTGTAACCACACAGGTGTGCTACTGTTCTCATGTGTGATGTTGTAAATAATTCACTGCATGTGTTGCTCAGTCCCTCTTCTAAGTGACTTCTGCACAAAGCAGTAGAAGTCTCCCTCGAGATGAGGAGGTTCCCTTGGTTTAGTTCGTGTTTGAATGCAAACATAGATCACCTTTTGCCTGGTAGAAGGAGACTCTTGTTTTTGAATAGTACCCTTGGAAGGTGGTGATGTGTGCAGAGCCCTTCCTCTCATTTCCAGAAGGAGATACAAAAAGTGGGAAAGGGAGTGAAGTTTTAGGTGTACTGTAGATACTTGGTGATATGTTTTCTGCCTTTTGAAACTGCCTTTTATCAGTCTCACCTTGGCATCCAGGCATTGTTATCATGGCTTAATATGGATCCAGAAAAGCAGGAAAGAGAGGAGGCTGGTGCTGACGGATTTCCACCTTAGTGACCAAATTTAGCTTCCTTTAGAAGCATCCCCTGTTTTCAGTCCCCTGGAAGCAGGGGGAAGTGAGGAGTTTTCCTGTTAACATGCATCCTAGTTATTTCCAGGGTTATTTTTCACTTCTTTTTCCAAGAAGCTCAGGATAGGAAGGGCTTGAAGAGAATTAAAACAGTGCTCAGAAACAGGGTTTATATATTGCTGTTAATCTCTTCTTGGATTATTTCCTGGGCTCTTTGTGCTCCTTACAGTAAATATCTGTTGATTACAGCATGAAAGGCAAATATATCCAGTGGTCATTTCCCTTTAGGAACTTGTCAGCTCTCTTTTGCTGCTGTGCCACTGATGAGCCTGTCATCTTCTCGGGCCTGTGTCTGGAGGAAGAGATCTCAGCTCAAAAGATGTGCTTAGCCTGCTTCAAAGTGTGTTGACACAAGTTCAGTCAAGCATCAGGGCTGAGGGAATTGCGTGGGACTGAACAAAGTGGGTTTTCTTCCCCTTGTTCTGGTGGAGCTCAGTGCTAGGAAGAAATGCAGCTTCCTGATTGCAGCAGGAATACTGATATTCCTGGCTCTGGAGAGCGGGAAGGCTTTTACCCTGGACTCCAGCACTGGGTTTTCCTCCCCTCCTTCTGTATCTGCTCCCTTAAAGGTGTTGGTTTTCATTTGTATGTTCAGAGCTGAATCTTCTCCCTGCTGATTATTCACAAAAGCTCTTCTGCCCCAGTGTTCCTGTGCCAAAACTCTACAAACTCCCTGAAATTCCAGGGATAATGCCACAGACAGAATTAAATACCAAATATTTCTGTTGGGAGCTTGAAAATGATTTATTTCATGAAGCAAACAGTGATCTGTGTCACAATGCTATAGCAAAGCCCCATCCAGG